CTCCCCTTCTGTTTTCCTCTCTCCCTGTCAGTTCCCTGTCGTGACTCCCTTGATAACTCCACCCCCCACCCCTTCCCGCTTTTTTGCTCTCCCTGATTCCGAAATATAATATTTCACCAACTTCATCCACATCAAAGATTTCTGCGCGTCATTTTGGCAGCGAAAGAGCGGAATTGCCAGGGACTCGGATAGACAGCAAAATATGGGAAGAGTGTTCGGAGATATACAGATTATTAATGTGGGATCACGTCATCAGAGTAAAATTAGAGATAGACCGAAAAATTGGAGGAAAGAAAATTCAGAGATATGAAATATAAGAAGACTGTTAAAAGGTAAGCTCAACGCGTGAGACAGAATAATGTTGGAACGAGTGCTCAGAGATAGACAGAAAATGTCAGAGGGATGCTTAAAGATGATGTGAGTGGCGTGTTCAAAGATAGACAGAATGTGTGGAAAGAGTTAAAGAGATTAAAAGAAAAAAGAAAAAAATTATAATCCACCCCCCTCCAAAAAACAAAAACAAAACAAAAAACAAAAAGAAAAAAACAGACACCCCCAAAACAACAACAACGAACAAACAAGCAATCCAACAACAGACGAAAACAAAAGAAGCAAATTAACAACAACAGAATGGTATTTCAAGGCAGTCAAAAAAAAACCCAGCCAGAAAAGGAGAAGCGCAGAACAGTTGTATGAGGCAAAACACGGAAGTGTGAGGAGAATTCTGCTAAACCCGCAAGGGACTATCACCAACATTCGCAACCAATCAACTGTGTAAATTAAAGAAGGATAACTTTTGTGTTGTGGAAACTAAAACAAACATTATGTTCGATTCTCTCCCTTCACTGTCCGTCTCCTTCGACCAGGGGGATAAGGGGTACTTTGTCTGCTGCGTGGTATCTCTCACAATTATCTTGAGCAAATTTGCGTCTGTCTTCCAGGGTAGGACCCTTACTTCTTTGGAGATAGTTTTCATCGTTGGGTGCTTGTTGTTTCGTAAGTTAAATACGACGAGGAGGAGAGAAGGTTACTTTGATCGAACAGTGGTGCCTTGAAGGTTAGAGAAGAAAATCTGTGTGTGCGTGTGTGTGTGTGTGTGTGTGTGTGTGTGTGTGTGTGTGTGTG